AGCTGAGCAAGAAGCTCCGGGAAACGACACCAAAGCTCGATGCAGTCATCTGCAATGCTGGCATTGGTGGATGGACTGGCATCAATTGGCCCGGTGCCATATGGGCAATCCTCACAAAGTGGAGAACGGCCATCACTTGGCCTACATACAAGATGTCTGGAGTTGGATGGACAGTAAAAAACCCACAAATACCTGCGGACAAGAAGACGGAAGAAGAGCCTCCATTAGGCGAGGTCTTCTGTGCTAATGTCTTTGGGCATTACCTCCTCGGTCACTACCTCGCACCCTTGTTGGCAAGACACCCCAAGAGTGAGAAGACAAGGGGGAGGATGATTTGGGTCAGCAGCTTGGAAGCATACGACCATGTCTTCGACCTGCAAGACATGCAAGGCATTCTGTCAGACATGCCGTACGAGGGCACCAAGAGGTTGACCGATATCCTGGCCATTACTTCTACGCTGCCCTCAACAACAAAACCTGTTGACGAATATCTCCATCACGCCCAAGATTCGGACAAGACTACGAAGCCGCGACTCTACGTTTCTCACCCTGGCATCTGCGCTACCTCGATCGTACCTCTCCCCCTCATCCTTCAATGGTGCATGGTCATCTCCTTCTACATTGGGCGATTGCTTGGCAGCGACTGGCATACGATTGATGTCGAGAAGGGCGCAACGGCAATGGTCTGGTTGGCACTTGCTAGTCAGAGCACGCTGGACAACATGGAGGCAAAGGAAGGCGTGGGCAAGTGGGGAAGCGCGACCGATGTTTGGGGCCGAGAACGTGTGGACCGCACAGAAGTGACGGGATGGGGTTGGGGAGGCAAGATGGGCGAATACAAGAGAAAGGGAAGGGATCCGTACGCGACAGACCTGACCAAGGAGAGCCAAGAGCGCTTCACGGAGAAGGGGAGGAGGTGCTGGGAGGAGATGGAGAAACTGCGCATCGAGTGGGAAGATCGGCTGCGGCAGGCTGGAGTCGCTGTTGAGATGGAGTGATTTCCAACACACGCAGAGGCTTTTACGGCACCCCACACCCAGGCGCCGGCATCATTGTACACTTTTAATATCTGAAGATACAACACACAATAATTCTTTCTTGGGCCCCACACATGCACAGCAGACAGACGTGGTTCCATGGAGCGACCAAGACACCCCCTCTTCTACTTGCCACATTGCGAAACTTCAGACTTTGGACTAAACACAAAATAAAAACAGCCGAACTGACAGCACTAGTACCGACATTATGCCGGGCGATCTCTTGTCAGAGAGGAGCCCGAATGCTTGGGCATAGCGAAGGTTGAGGCCTGAGCTTGACAGCTGAAGTATGCACGCCGCAACAAGGACAAGGCCGAGTTGCAGGACCAGTTCTGTGCAAGACTCGTTATCGCGAGAAACACGTCGACTAAGTTGAACGACTTGCAGAAATTAAGAAACATGACGGGTACTAGGAGGCCTGGACACAGTCGCGTGCCACATCACAAATCACCTCGGCGACGAGTGACGAGCGACAGGACTGTCCTGCGGCGAAGGCAGCGCTACTGAGCATAGTCGAAATAGGCTGGGAACGCGCCACATGGCGTTGCGTTGGGGTTCGTAGGCGCGTTCGCACTGTGTGATGTGGTTCCTGTTGGAGGCGAAGGACAGGCAGAGCGCGCCCAAAGGCAAAGGTGAACCTATCCCCCGCATTCCCGATTGTCTCGTTCGTGATGTTTCTTGTGACGACATGAGGGCTCATGCAGCAATCCCGGGAACCGCACTCTTCGACGCCAGGGGCTTCCTAGGGCGCCCCCACCCACGTACCAGAAACAGCAAATAGGAAGCCTTGACGGCACCTGCAGACCGCTGTGCTGGGTCGCGCCGGCCAGGGCTCCCGCTGTGCCCCTTCTCGCTTGTCCTCTTCGAGTCAAGTCTTCCCTTCTGGCCCTCCCTCAACCGTCCATCTCTAATTGCTGCCCGACGCGACTGTTCGTCGCCATCCCCTAGACATCTGGCATTTTCGACTCTGCTCCGCGTCGCCAGAGTTGCTCTTCATACCACCACTTTCTGGAAATTCGCTGCCCGCATCGCCTGCCTGCTGTCAAGTCAGGATTGACGCGATTCACCGCTACCTGCAACGCGAAATTTACTACTTTCACCGCTCATCTCCCTTTTACCGCGACAACCCAGGACGCGACAGATCACGCAGCGGTTCTCATGGTAGCATTTTCCCTGCTATAGCGCGAATGGACCCCAAGAACGACCCGCTCTCGAGCGACTATCCACCCATCTTCGCACGCGACGTCACCCAGGTCTCTTTCCCATCAACAACTCTCACATACGCCATATAATACCCCGCCGCCGTCCTAAACCTTCTCGACCAACTACACAACGGCGCCTGTCTTACTCCCGGCCCAACGATCAAACTAGGGGGGATCATTGTTCGTGCATACGAGTCGCGGTACACAACGTATTGCCACCGACTGCCTCTCTTAAAGGAACAAAGCATACGCGCAATTCTACCGGGCCTAATTCTTGTCCGGAACCTTACATCGAAATGTCGAACATTTCGTCACCACACAGTTCTTCGCGGGGAACTGCCTATAGGCCGTCGACGCCAGACCAGATGAGACCTACGCTTTCGCGATCGAGCACTTACTCTGTTGCGCCAAAATCAGAATTTCTACGACATGCGCTGGAAGCACGGAGGGCACAGAACACACCAACGCCTTCGCCTCAGGAAGTCAAGGCGCCACCGCCACCAACGTCGATGCCCTTGGATATACACACACCCAAAACCTCACCCGATGTCTTTGACGAGTTTGCCCTCACCGAGGAGCAAACAACACCCGTTTCGCCCATCCGGCGACGAAGACCTAGCGATGTTGGCACGCCGCGCTCCAAGACGAATCGAGACCTCACCAATGATATCCAGAAGCTAAAGGAGTCGTTAATGACTTCCAACATGCGGGTGGAGCTGCTGAAGAAGGACAACAGAGAGTTACAGCACCAACTGACGGCTACAAAGGAACAAGTTGAGCGACTTGAGCCACTGGAGGATGAAAACTACGAGCTGCGTGCGGAGAACAAACAACTGAAACTCAAACTGGATAAGATGAGTGAGGAAATCTCCAGCTTACGAGAAGACAACGAAGAACAGCGGATGAACAACGTGGAGCTCACCGCTATAGCAAGCGAGACTGCCGCGCACTTCACAGAACACGAGACTGCTCTTGCAGAAGCGGCCGAGTGCATCATCAAGATGGAGGAGGAAAAGGCCTTACTCGACAAGGAACTCAAGATGCTCAAAGAGCGCGTCATGGTGATAGAAAGCCATTCTCCCGCTAGCACACTCGTCAACACTCCTGGAAAGTACCCGCCTAGCGTCTACAGTGTGGACGAGGAACGGCCCACTACTTCTCATTTCGACTCGGATTACTACAGCCAGGTAGAGGACACGCCGTCAGTCAAGCCGAGCCATGAATCGATAAGGTCGTTTACGCCTTCAGAACGGTCAAAGAAGTTTCTTGACTTGACCGAAGAGCGGCGGAAGTCTGCTCGAGACCTGTCTGAGCGTATGTCTGCTGTCTCTCTGAAGGCATTACGCGAAGCGTCTCCCTCCCCACTTCCAGAAGTTCCTCAGGTTCCCACTACATACCAACAAGAGATTCCGACAATCATCGCCGATGACAGGTCTGCCACCCCCTCCAGGACTCCCGTACCTCATCGCCAAGGTTACCAGCCGCCCTCACGGTCTCTGATGGACGCAGCAGAGATCTCCCCAGCTCGGCCGCATACAGTTGCCCCACAATCTCACGAACGCCAACCGGACGGTCTGCGAGGTTTATATCGCCCCCGTAGGACTTTGTCAGGCAGGAAATCAAGTGATCGCCGCCCGTCATCAAGTTACGTCCCAAACACCACCAGCACTTCCGCCAGTTTTGCAGGTCGCCAACAGTCCATGCAAGAGACTTGCCCTCAGGTCCCTTCACGCAGCACCAGCAAGCGTGCGAGTACTACAAATTCAGACGAGCACCTTCAACGCCGCATACCACACCGCCGAACAACCGATGCTGACAGACCATCCACCATGTATACACTCCCCAACGCGGACCTCATGTCATCAGGGTGGGAAATGATATCCTCCGATTCCTCCCCTCCTCCCGTCTCCAATGCCTCCACAACCGATCTAACCTCGGTTGTAGATCCACGCGAAGACAGGGACGGATGGTGGCGCAGTTTAGATCGTCTGACTCTACCTCAAGCACTGGCTCAGCAGCAACAACAACAACAGCAACAACAAAAGGATCAACGGGATCAACAGACACCGCGACCTTCTAAACCTCATTCTAGGTCGAGATCGGTTGCTCCCCTTCCGCCTCCTATTGACACTGGCAATCCCGTCCGTACAACTAATGGTCTAAATGCCTACGTCGATACGCTGAGGAGCAGCGGTTCCCGACGGAAACCAGGCGAGACTACGCCGCTGACAGCTTTGAATAGTCATCCTGTCGAAAAGGACTTCTTGTTCAATGTCAAAGAAAGCGAAGACGACTTTCTGCGAAAGACCAGGGGTAGTGTTGGATCTTCTTCACGGAGAAGTTAAGGTGCTTCTTGAGTAGTTGCCCCTTCTCCTGTTGTTTTTTTCTTCCCATATTTTTTCCCGTTAATTCCTAATGATTGTACGACCCTGATTCTTTCCTCCTAACTTTTTTTCCGGCGTTCTATCAGAGAGCGGAGGATTATACCCGACAAGGAGGTCATGCCGGCTTGTCCGAACTATCTTTACCTATTAACAGCGTGGGCGGTTCATTTGAGACTGCGACTTTTGTCGCATCAACATCCATCTGCCAGGATAGCAGAAAACCTGTATCACTAGTCGAATACGTCGACATCACTTAATACCATCACATCTCCCTGAACTAAAAGCTCGCACAATGACAAGTGAAGCCAACATGTATTCCAAGCTGTTAGTATACAAAGACCCTCCATGTAAACCATACATCTTTGTGTGTCACCCATCTACGCCCGTCTATCCCCTCTAAACTGCTCAGCAACCATATCTCCCAACGTCCTCCTCTGCCTCGCCTGCCCGTCTTCCGCCAGAATCCCCGTCGCCAACCCCGCTCCACCACCTTCCCTCTCCCTCTCAGCATCTAGCCTCGCCCTCAGCCCCTCGAAACCCCCTTTCTTCTCCTCACCAACCATCCACCCCGGAACTCTCCAGCGGCTTGCTCCAGGCAGAACATCCCTCCGGTATGCCGTGCCCACGCCCCACCCTACAGCTGCCGCAACCAAGCTGCCCGGAAATTGGCTGAGCGCAAGTTGGAGGGGAGGGAGGTAGGATAGTGACTTGGATGTCAGCGTTAGACTGCGTGACCAGAGCGCTGAGAGGGACTGGGTATTCGACTGTGTTGATGATGATGATGGTGTAGGCGCGGACCACGGCGAGATCTTATACCGGTATGTATATGGAATCGCAGCGTAGTAGTTTGCGAGGAGAGCGAAGAGGATGGGTGTAGGACCAGCGGGGAGGTAGTTTATTGCGCCGAAAGTCAACGGGCGGAGGACGAAGGTTAGAAGGAGAGGAGGAAGAAGGGTCGTGTAGGGGAGAGTTGAGAGGAGAAAGGACTGTGGAGATGTTAGTTGGACGTGGTAGAGAGAGAGAGAGAGAGAGAGAGAGAGAGAGAGAGAGAGAGAGAGAGAGAGAGAAGAAGG